CAGCGTGGCCAAGGGAGCCTCCTCTTCGGCCACGTGGCTGTTCTCCTCGGGCGGCGGGTTAGCAGCAGCTGGGCCTGTTGGCGAGGGGCAGTCACGCTCGGTCAGCCACGGACCCAAACGCGCCATGAAACAGGGCTCTCCTGGGCTTGGAAAGCGCTGCCTCTGCCCTGCCAAATGAGCTCCTGCAGATTTCAGTCACTTGGAGGCAGAGAGGGTCCCAGTGCCCTTCTCCGTCCAGTTCCAAGGTAATAGTTCCATTCACACCTCATCTTCCTCACCCTCTCTTCCTACAAGCTATTTTCCCTGAGGTCCTTAAGTTACCAGCGGAGAGAAGCCACAGGGACACAGGAAATCGATACCCTCGTTCAGAGACGACAAGCAGCTTTGTCAGCGCTGGTGAGAAATGCTGCGAGCCCAGCTCCGCGCTCCCAGACCCCGTCCTCCAGCCTGCCACACGTGCTCGCTGCACACACAGCTCACGTGTCTCTCCTGCTGCAGCTGAGTTTTCTCTGGGTTTGGCAGACACTGCAAATAGGACTGTACTACAGGCACAAAGGGCCACAGACTGAGGGACCTACTCCTGAACATCCCAACGGGTTCTCTGCACCCACCTAACGCTCCTCAAACGCTCTCAACACCAAAGAGAGCGATCAACGCTCCCCAGCGGCTCCCTACCCCACTGCCAGATCTGACCCCCGACCTACAGCTCAGTCAGGCAAACGGAGGGCTAAAGCCTTACCTCTGCCCCTGCACGCTGACGCCCAGTGCCCCGTCCCGCCGCATCTGAAGCAGACGTCGGCGCTTCTATCAATGGACCTGCTGCCGCCTCCAAACTGCTCTCCTTTCTTCTGCCACTTCTGCTTCCACACCTGTGGAGCGAGCATGACCGCTAGCATTAATACACCAGCACGGAGCAACACCGCAGGCAGCCGCGAAGCAAGGAGCCCTGGACCCGTTTGCCGGCAGAGGATGGAGAGGCAGAAGCTACCTGAGCAGAAGCTGCGTTTTGATAGCTCACGTGAGCGCCAGGAGAGGTACTCGCTGTCCCCTTCCTAGGTCTGCAGGCAGAGAAGAAAATCCCATTGAGGGCTACGGAGTACCACGACCTTACCTCGGGGCCAAAATCCAAAAGATTCGGAGCCTGAGCAAGTTTACTGGGGAACTGTAACTACTTGCTTGCTCTCCTCTTTCCTGGATCTCCTCTGGCCGCTCTCAAAGACCAGGTACAGGTTCACTTTCATAACATGAAGGAAGAGTCAAGGCGAGTCACGGCCTCAGAGCAGGCTCAAGCAGAAGTGTTGGAGAACCACTGCCCAGGGCTAAACAACATCGCGAGCCGTCAGGGGAGGGATTTCACCTCTCGCTATGCATTTGCGCAGCATCCAGCACCGCTGAGCACCAACGGCTCACGCACAACCCCCGGCAAGGCGAATCCCCAAGCGAGAGCGGCCAAGCCCAGGCGAACGTTTAGCACGCCTGAGCTGCAAGGCAGCGGGAACGAGAAGCGAAGCGGCACCGCTACGCGGCAGGGAACCGCGTGCGAACAGAGCTGCGGCACGCACCAGCTGGGCCACAGGCCCTTCGGGCTGCGGCAACCGGCAGATTTGTACACGACTCGCAGTAACGTGACAGCGAGCGGGAGGCAGGCCGCAAGCTGCGGGGCAAAAGAAGTCTCCGTGCGAACGCGGAGGTGTCCCAAAGCACCACGTCCGTCTCCTGCCGCAGTGCTCGGTCAAAGGCCAGGCCCGTCAGTCTCTACAAACTGTCCTGAGAAGTTGCCCGAGTTGTTTTTGTACTTCTTGCTCCCTTTGCCCTGGCATCAAGCTTTTGCAGAAACACTGCACAAACATGCCGAGCTTTAAAAATAAAGGCAATTTTCTTCCAGCTCGCGTTCCCTTCTCCCAGCTCCCTCTGGACAGGTTTTCCTCTCTCGCGCGTGCGTGACACACGCACGCACACACAGCAGTCCCAGCAACAGCTCAGCGCTTCTTCCCCAGAAAGAAGATTTATATATCCAGTGTCTCCTGCCAGAGACGACCTCAAAGGATTTCACCCCAAAACATAAATTAAAGAGGAGGGGGGGGAAAAGAAAAAAAAGAAAGAAAACCTACACTTTTGCAGCAGAGCAGGGAAGCGATGTGCCTCTGCCTTCGCCGTGCAGAAGCTGCAAGAACAGGCAAAACCAGAAAGCAGCAGCCCTTTGGGCACGCGCCTGTTTAGCTCGAGACCCAGGCGAGGCTCTGACCTAGCACCTCGCTGGCGAGCAGAAGCCCTGTGCAGCAAGAGGGTGAGCTGAGATAAAGAAAAAGCCTCCTAAAGCAGCACTGGCAGCTTTTCCAAATCTCTGTACTCTCAGGCTCTCTGTTCAAGTGACGGCACAGCCACAAGCCCTCCTGGAGGCCCTGGGCAAGCGCCCACGCACCATACCTGCCCCTTGTAGGGCGCTTGTGCTTCCACAGGACGTGGCATTTAAATTAATCATGGGTTGAGGCTATATGCAGAGACGCGCCCTGCAACAGCACGACTGAATTGCCGGTCCGGAGAGGGTGCCAGCAGAAGGATCTGCGCTCCAAAGAACGAAGGCAGCGCCTCAGGTTTGCTGATGGGAGACCCATCTTCTGGATGCCTGAATCCTGTCAACCTCTGGAGCCCAAACAATCCAGTCAAGGCTCAACGAGCTGTTCGTCCAGATGCCATAATGCAGAACGGGGAGCGGGCTCGAGGCTTTTCAAAGAAAAGCTTCAGCTCCTTCCCTGTCACACACACTCCTTCCAAGAACAGTTCAAGGAGGTTCACTTGAACGTAGGAGGTAGTCACCTTTGGACAGAGATCAGAAATGCCATCTCCTACTCTAAAGCACAACCCACTTAGAGAAGTGTATGAAACGCATCTTGATAATGGTCACGCTTGCAACCCACACGCGTGCCGATACTGAGCTCTTTCTGCTTGCGCAGCTATCTTGGGGGCAAAAACGCGGCAGCTGCTCAATACAGTAGAGCTACGTGATTTAGGATGGAAAGGGAAACCAAGTGTATCCAATTAGAGCTGCACAACCCATGGGGGAAAGGGAATCGGAGTCGGTGCGTGGCTGCTGCAAGCACTTAGCTGGAGCCGTGCAGTTCAGGGCACCTTTCGGGGGAGACGCACCTGCCCCAGAGACCGTGCCCGTGGTCACAAGCACTATTGCTCCGTTGCCGCACGTGGGCAGAGCCCTGTACCCCGTATGGTCTCTATGTAGGCAAAGGGGGTCTCCTCGAGGCCCCTTCCTGCTCCCAGGGAGGGGAGATGATGCTCTCGTTTGCTTGCTGGAGGCAGCTGGCAGCACCTTCTGTATAGCTGCTGTTGCTGGATCTCTTGGGTCCTCTCTGCTCTCTCCTCCCTGCGCAGCTCTGCTGCACAGCAACACAGCCGAGGACAACTCAAAAATAACATGAAATTTAACTAAAATACGTAAATCCAAACCTCCCAGCAAAAAGGGTCTGAAAACAAGAGCGAGATCCGAACAAGATTTAAATTCTTCCTTAAGAGTGGACTGGAGAGTCCCACGGCGAGTAAGAGAGCGTCAGTACGAGACAGGCGATCTGGAGCACCACGGCTGTTTAAAACATCGCCCTTCCCCGCGGTCACCTCGTGTCCCTGACAGCTGCACTGCAGCAGAGCCCCAGCCAGACACCACCGAGCTGGGCCGTCACGTCTGGGGCGATTCCACAGCGGGTTTCGGTCGGGACTGCCCTGGGCCTGACTTTTTCCGGATTTGGCGCTGACGCCTGAGCAGTCACCTTGCACAGGCCACTCGGGGAGCTGGTCTAGCCCCTGCAGACACCCTCAGACTGCAACGCCCAACACGGGGTTATGCTGAGACACCGGAGTGGCCAAGGCTCTGCCACGCACTTCGTTTTGCGAGAACAGCTGAAGTAGGGCAGGTATCTGGGGCATTAACATCTTAAGAAACTGCAGTTAGATGTCCTTGCTGTCACGGGCCTCAGATATCCGACAGGGCCATTGAGATGATTCGGGAGAGGCCAACAGCACGGAAACACCTGCCAAGGCACCAGCACTTTACCTGTTTGCGAAGGCGATTTCCTTTCAACACGTAACCTCTAACGTGAGATTTCTTCTTGAGGTTAAGCTTGACGAAGTTGCCCTCTTTCCGCAGTGGTGCCCTGCAAAGAGCAAACCTTTGTTATGAGGAAACTCCAGACATCCAACTCCCAGGCTATCCAAAGGCAGGGCCAGACGCCGCCACGCCGGCTCCCAGCACAGCACCGTCACCCAGCGTCGCCCCGCTGCACAGCGGCATCCAGGACAGGAAAACGGGGAAGACGCCAGCCCAGCTTCAGAGCCGTTAAAAGCGGTAACTGAAGAACCTGTTGCGCGGTCGGCAGCACAAGAGGAAAATCCTAAATACACACACACAGCTCTCTCCCACTTGCTATTTCACTAAAAAAAAAAAAATACGGGGAAAAGGCATCTCTCAGCCCCAGCCTGTGCTTGGCAGCACACCCCGCTGCCCTTACCCCGCCTGCCGCAGCCCCCTGCCCCCCCCCTGTGCTGGGCAGCCCCCCCCGCGCCCTTTCCCCCCCCTGCCGCAGCCCCCTGCCCTGCCCTCGGCTCCCACCCGCACCCACCGCCAGCAGGACCCCGAGCACCCTGTCCTCAGATGTATTTTTTTTTTTTTTCCTTTTTTGACCTGTGCAGGAAGGTAACGCTATATATCTTCTGTTCCTTAAGCATGACTGAGGTGAGCCAAGAGATGTGCATGTTCTGGGAGAGGGGGAAAAAAGGCAGGCAGAGAGCATAACTGTGTAAGAAAAAATCAGGCGGAAGAAAACCCACAGAATTTACTTATTTCAAAAAAAAAGGGGGGGGGCAGTTTCTGACTTACTACAAAGAAGGAGAAAACTAAGGCAAGAGCAGCTCATGATTTACAGAAATCAATAGGAAAAAAACCAAGCATTCTCAGCATCCTTTTCAGAACATGTTTCAGGGCTTTCAAGGACAAGGAGGTTTCGCCACAGCTTGTACTTTGTTTAATTGCTGGGCAGGTTTCCAGGAATTTCAGAAGTTGTGGCTGCACGGCTCCCGCACGGGCAGCACCGGAGCGCTTTGCCCCCCGTCGCTCGAACGGGCCGGGAGAAGGGCGAGGGGACAATTACGCTAAGGACAGCGAACTTGTCCGCTCTCCGGCCCAAGGGCCTGCCCCCTGCCCGCCACCTCCCCGCTGCACGCTCGCCCCTGCCCACGCCCTGCCTGCTCTCCGGCTCCCC